CACGCCACAGTATGCCCCCAAAACAACAACAACAAACAAAACGTGCGACCTCTGATCACTGAAGCATGGATCATACTGCCTTAAAAACTGTTCTCTGCTGCAGCGGAGTGATCACGCACGCTCGAAAACAACCAAAACAGGAGCTAAACCAGGATCAAACCAGGGCTGAGGACTGGGGTCAATGCTTGTAAACATATGTCTTCACCCTGGATCTATAACACGTCTTAGTTCACCCAGAGTTTCTACTATGACTGTAAGTGCCGCTACAGAACGAAAGTTACGAATAAAACTGCGGCTCTATGAATCCTGGATGACCGCCAGAGGCGGTGCCTAAATGTAAATGATTTCATAAATCATGCGGTTTTGCATGTACATCAACATACATTGTAGATTTAAAGAATCCTCAATATATTTAGAAAGAAATATATGTTTTGCATTTTTGTAGTAGGTAGATCATTTTGACTTGATCATTTTATAAGTAGCTCGCATGCTGAAAAAGTGTGAGCACCCCTGGATTAAAGGGTAGAAAAGGGATGGATGGATGGATGGATGGTTCAACGTTGAAAGTTTTTGAAATGATTTTTATGATTATTATCTATTTTCAAAATCATCTAATCCACTTTAATTGTACAGCCCATTTCTAAAATGCATACATATAGATGTATTATCAATAAAATCATCAGCCAACAACATTATCAACATAATAACAAATAAAGCACCGTGTCATGCATTAGCTTCAGATTTTAAGTTGAAAAACAGAAGTAAATGTAACTTTAAACATATTCTAATCTTCTGAGCTTCACCTGTGGAGTGGAGTATTTTCAACCCCTTTCTTCTTCAATGAGAACCCTTGTGTCTCCTCTCAGGTGAACCCAAACCCTCCGCTTTCATCCCTGAGACATGAAACAACTGCAGCCGTGTGGGAGGAGAAAGTCCTGGGATCGTGTGTTCAACCCAAGTAAAAAATGCTGCCCTGTACTTTGTGGTTTTACAGCACGCCTCGGGCCGCTCATACGGACCCCTGAAATAACTACAGCTGTAATTTGGGTTTCCAGCCTTTTTTTTTTTTTGCCTGCTTTTACCCAGCCCAGACAGCAGAAATAAATACTTCATGAGCAGGAATGCTAAGTGCAAAGGACGTTTTTAGTTGTGTTAGGTGCAAATGTCATGGGGTTTGGAGGCGCAGACAGTAGTTGCATTATCAGCAGGAGCGACGCACCTATTGAGAAAGAGAATGGTGTGGGCTTCTGCTGACACCTATGGGTCAAACCAGGACCTGAACTGAGAAAAAGACCCCCACGCAAATAGACGGGGTTTTAAACTTGGGGTATACCTACTTTTTTGTGGTATTAATTATTTAGCATTTGCTGTTATTGTTAAGGAAAATCTTTGAGGCAGAAACAGGTCACACAGTGTTTACATGGAAGCAGCTCTATAGTGCACGTGTGGGATGAAATTGCAAAAGAGAGATTTGAGCTGCTTTTAGAAGTAACTAATTTTGTATTTAAAGTGCATTTCACAGACAAGGGTCACACAAAGCAGCAATATTTTTATTCTTTTTCTTCCGTTTTTATGACAGAAAGCAACACCCATTCAACACGCACGGTGGCTGACTGGAATCTTCTCATCAAGAAGGTCCAGGGTTCGAATTCCGGTCAGAACAGGGCCTTTCTGCGTGAAGTTTGTATATCTTCTCTTTGCCCGTGTAAGTTTCCTCCAGGTGCTCCGGTTTCCCCTACCACTAAAAACATGCACAAAAGATATGAATAAAATGAGTAAGTGGATGGATGGAGTTGGTTGGGGATTTTGATGCGCCACTGTGTTCAGCATTTTGTTTCTGTCATCACCGTGTGTAAATGTGAAAATATCTGAACATTGTTAAGTGTTTTGGGTGACCTCGGTCTAAAAAATGCGCTCTATAAACAAACGATTACTTACTTACTTTCTTATCAAAGCCACTGACCTTCCCCATCTGTTCACCACTTATTCAGACCTAGTGCACATGTGTTTAGTGGTGAAGTAACCGGAGCACCTGGAGGAAATCTATACAGACACAGGGAGAACACAGAGAAGTCGAACTAATCCGCCAAGTACCACATTTGCTTACGATCGTATTGGATGTATCAGTCAAGATAATTTGACGGTTACGGCCTGGTTTAGTTGTACGATATTTATATGAGACCAGTATTTACTTTACATGAATAATTTAAATAACACTGCTATAGTAACACCTGGAACATGTATTTATAAAAACAATTTATTAAAAAAAAACAACAAAATTTGAATTCACAGTTCATTGGGAAGTACAGCATGTATTCAATGTGACCAACAGTATTTTTCAATTATTGCTTTGGTTATACAAGTACCCATCCAACAATGTAAACTGAAAAAACATCAAAATAATATTGACATTTCAGATCTATGCATTTACCGGTGTTTCAACAAAATGACTATACACGTGAACATTAAATACATTTGGGTCAAACGCACAAAGACATAAACAGGATACACATTTGGTCAAACAACTCCCAAAAGTCAATTTTAAAAGTGTATAAAATAAGATTAGTGCAGAGTGACTCACAATCTGCCCGTTTCAACAAAAAGTGACAGATAGGTTTGGTAACTTGGTTCAGTGATGACGGTTGTAACAGTAACAGGCAATTTTAAACAAAGAAAATCACCACATTGACTTCATTTAATCGGCGCCATCTTGTTCACAGTGGTTCGGAGATTGGTTTAACACATACGCACACACACACACATGTACACAGACACACATACACACACATATACACAGACACACACACATCAACAGACGGATCATTCATTCAGCTGATCTCAGAGAAGAGACGAGTTTAAAAAGCTGATAACCATTTTTATTATAGTCCACACAGCAACAAGAAGTTCATTAAAATGTGAAGGTCTAAAATACAGGAGGAGAGACTTGCCCTGAACATGAATTGCAGAGCTCAGCGAAGCAACCCCATAATTAACTAAAGTCAACGTAAAATAACACTTTTAATGGGTGTGTATCGTATGAGGGAAGGAGCAGCTCAGACATTAAGGGATTAGCGAGGGGAAAGTGTCAAATGCAGGTAGACTTTGGTTGCAGATGGCGGCCGCTTTACTGTGTATTCTATAAAAGTTAATTAACCACAAACTTCAGTGATAACGGCTCGTTAATGTGTGGACTATAAAATAAAGTGCTACCAGAAAGTCCTATTTAAAAAGTCAGACACTCAATGTTTTGACCTGTGCACAGCAAAGTACAGCTCTCATACGTCCACCACAGTTAATGTCACATTTCCAACATACACTTTGATCCAATTCAACTTAAATAACGAGTAAATAACATTGGTGAAAAGTGTCTTTGTGTCAGAAAAATACATTAAATAGGCCCCGCCACAACATTACAGTGTATTCACTCAAACTGAAATCTTAAATTAAAAAGAACAGTGCGTCTTGCCCACGCCCTGTTCTGCAGCAAACGTCACAAAGATTTGGGTCCTGTCCTGGTCGGGACGTCCAGTCCTGGAAATATTGCACATTATGGTCGACAAGCCTTCAATCACACTCAGTAAAAAAGGCTCCAATTTCACTGCAACTAAAGCGCCTCCGCTGCTGAAGCGACCCGCACAGGACAAAAACACCATTGACTTACAAAGTCTTCAATACAATCCACAACTTTGGAATTAAATATTTGAACGCACAACAGGTACAACAGACCCACAGCTGTTCATGCAGCAAACAGATGGTACATTCAAAACTGATTTAAAGTCACATTGACAGAGTCTTTGCTTGAGTTCAGTCCTGAATATGACACACCTGGAGCAGGTACAGAGCGAGCCTCATGCACAGTTATCAGCACATTCTCCAGGACAAGTCAGCAGTGTTCCGTTCAGGAGAAGGGGGGTGACATGACGAGTGATGCCACTATGGGTCTGTTCAATAAATAAACCATGAATACTGAATATTATAATCAAGTTTGAAGTTTGACTTTCCTATATAAATACTATAGATACAGAAATGTGGGCTCCTGTCCCCATCGTGAAAAGAGAAACCCCTCAACCCTGTACACTGCTGCTGACTCCCCTCCTCTGCATCATAGAGGCACTTTGTAAGCTGTATATTGAAAATAAGGACCATTCACCTACAGAACTACAGAAAAGTCTATGGTTTTCAAAAATTCTATTCTGTTCTCCTCTGACATGTAACAGTGCTTAACCACGAAGCATGAGCATTATTATTATTATCATCTTTTGCTCTTGGCTGTTATATTCTTAAACAAATAAATACACATCTAAAGCTGCATGTCACCAGAAAGTTGGACTGGTTTCAAAGGTAAACGGATCTCAACATTTGCATAAAGGCACTTGCGAATATTTAAGCTTACGTATGATCATAACAAGCCAGAAGCCCTACAGGCAAACTTGTGCAACGTACCATAAAATGTGTGTCATTTGCTCACTTGTCTAGTGTTCCTCAACATGTAAAGAATACTGCAGGAACTGTTACTACTAACGTGACCTCATAGTGTTTTGTTCATTTGGTTAACAGCCGCCAAGAGCTTTATGAGACGTTTGTATGCAAATTCTATTGTGAAGACTTGAAAGAAACCCGCTTGTGAAATTAGTTTTGGAAAGCGCCCTTTGTGCGCCACATTTCCATAGAATCTGACTAAACTATGGAACCATATACTGCTCTGGTGTCAAGTGGTCACAAGATCGCTCACATATTTCTTGGGATCGCACTGTAAACATTTCATTTGTAAGTCTTATAAAAGATACTGCATTTCATTATGTCTTGTAAAATCTCTCTCAGTCTTAGTTGCGATGCTGTAGAGCGAGGTGTGGACCGCGTGTTGTAGTCTTTGGGGCCAGAGCAATGTCTTCCAGCGGTCTCTCACACGCTCACATCAACTTCTTGAATTACAACAGGAGGCCATAAAAGCTCTCGCTGTTTACAGAGGCAGGAGATGTGACTTTTTTTACAAGCTGTCCTCATGTGCTGTTGCCTTGCTCTTGCTCGAAAAGCAGCATGGCGAGCTGGGAGCGCGACCCTAAACCTTCCAAGTTACTTTGAACACATCTGTGGTAGATCTCTTCGCTGAGCCGCGGGTTGCAGTTCTCGTAGCGGTACTGCTGATGCAACGCAGGCTCGGTGGCCCTGAACACGTGCAAGCTGGAATACTTCACAAACATCTCGTAAATATCCAGCGTCTCCAAGATTTCCTCGTTCTCCTGCACGTCCGCCGCCATTTGAGTTCGCGTGGACATGTAGTCGGAGTTGTAAAAGCAGGCCTCGTCGAAGGACATGCGGTCGAAGTGTCCCGCGTCCTTCACCAGGTCCACAGAGGCGGGGTAAGGCTGGTTGTGATAGGCCACCTCTGGGTTGTAATCCTGGAAATGTATTGGGAAAAACACCTGCCAATTGTTGATCGAATTCATGCGACATCTATTGAGAAATTCCGAATTGATATTAGAATTGACGCTAGCTAAAAAGAAGAGCGTATCAACCGGGTGTTTTTTAGAAATAATGTCCATGAACTTAATTTGCGATGGAGCCTCCGTCTTGACGCTTATCCACGGAATCTTGATTGTGGGGTATTTCCGCTCTAGCGTAGTTATCTGAGTCTTCACGCTGACAAAGATATCGTTTTGGTTTACCTGCTGGGCCTCCACCGAGTCGTAGATGAACAGGAACGTCAAAACGGCATTCTCGCTGGTTTCGAAGGCGTTGGCGGCAAAAACGTCGAGAAAATGAGTGACGTAGTTTTTGAGTTGTGCCGTCAGAGGTATAATGATATGCACGCGCGTTGCCTCGGTTACGTAAGGCATTGGAATTATCTCGATTTTGCTAAGAGGTCGGACCAAGTGAACTCGCTTCGTGATGGATCGACTGTGACCCTTTTGAGTGGACACTTCTAGCTTTAAGTCCAACATATACTCCATTCCTCGCGTGGGGTCAAATCGCCGATACCCGTTGATCAAAGCTTGTTTCTTCATATGCAAGAGCGGAGCGTATTTCTTATTGAGTTGCCCGACTGCGACTTCCATCACGTCCAAAACATCCATGTGGTCGATGCCCTTTAGCTCACACTTGGGAGAGCCGTCCACACAGGTGAAGATCTCCTCCTCCGTGAAGTACTCCCAGCTCAGGACCTCGAAGCGAGTCTTGGGCTCGAATGGAGCAGTGACCCCTATAGGCCAGTGGGCGCTACGGTTCCCTTCGATGGCCTCTACACTCACATTCTTTATCTCCGCCTGTGGACACAAACAGGAGTTTAGATAGTAGTCTACTTGAAAGCTACTTATGTGACTGCCTGTAAGGTATATTTGTCTAAAATTTGATGTTGATGATTCAGAGAAAAATGATACTTTTACACTTTTTATTTAAGCATGTTATAATATATGTTCTATATGTGATTTTCCCTTCTCACTGTATCCACTGCAAGTTCATGCATGTCTGGGTGTCATTCTTTTGCATTCAATAAACGTTACCTTACTTTCAAAAGGTTAAGGTAACGTTTCAAGGTAAATCTGTATCTATTGTATTTTTGTGGTCTGTGAATGGATTCAACATTTTGTCACAAAATCAACCTAATATTGTGCTACTATAAGCAACATTTGGATGTGGTGATGTATAATAGTGATTTCTTTTCATTTATTTGATCAATTCTGTGACAAAATGGTAATAAATGTTAAAGCTAAGGTACAACATAGGCAATATCTCAAAACAGTTTAGTTCCATCCTTAATTTGTTTTTCCTCTGTCATAATTTAAGATCAGCTTTATCAGTCAGAAAAGTGTCTTCTCTTCTCTCAGACCAAAAGATATAATATGTTCTCTTAAGAGGTAAGAGACTTATTACAATTGTGTCATGGCACCAACACTGAAACTTGTCACCCTAAGTATCAAATATGGGGGTGGCAGCATCGTGTTATGGATCTGCTTTTCTTGAGCAGGAACAGGGAAGAGTGTCAGAGTTAATGGTAATGTGGATGGAACAAAATAAAGGACATTGCTGGAGGGAAAAAAGTGCAAAGAGCTCAAAGTGTCCAGAGACTTTTGCTGCTTGAACGCTTGCAACGAACGATCCTTCCAAACTCTTCCTGACGACAGCGTTCTTGCAGTTGATGTGATGTTGTGAACTCTTGTGACCGCCGGGGCACTGAAATCAGCTTACCTGCAGCTTAGCGATCTCCTGGTAAGTCCTCTGCAGCTCGATCTGGGTGAAGAAGCGATGCAGCCGGTACATCTGCTCCGGCTCCGACACCGGGTGCACCGTCAGCGCCCTTTTGAACTCCTCACTGGCCTCTTTGCTGGGGTCCGAATTCTTCTCCAGCTCAAAATGGTAGTAGTGAAGTCCCTGGGAATACAAACGCACAAAGCACTCCATTCATTCTCGGGCACTCAGGGCTCGACAGAAACATACCTGATGTTATTACAAGCTAACTTTGTTATGGTGACTTTTTTTTTCTTTTTTTTTTGTACAGTGGAGAGCTATCTATGCAGCACTTCTGGGCTTGTATCCACTCCAAACACGGAGGTTTGAGCCATAATTGCAGGGTATAGCTCAGACATGGGAGTATTTTGGAGGCACAATGATGTTTTATTGTGAGCGTTTTGGATATTTCCTGTTTTGCTTTTTTGCCTTCTTGTTTTGGAAATGTTTGTATGTTTTGCGTCTCCAATTAAAGAAGTCCCGAAATAATACTGAATCCGATTAAGGTGAAAGTCGATACGGTCCTTCCGCACACGGCAGTACCAAAGTTTGAATGAGGGCTTTAGTTAGGTAGAAAGAAAGCAATGATTAGTTTGTTTTGCTATAATGGGCTATAATGGGAATAATAACTGAATGATTCTGAATATGAACTAAATAAAGTTTTGTCCATTTGTCAGCGTTGGGTAAATACATTTAAAAAAAGTAATTACTTATAGAAAGGCGATTACTTTTGAAATGCCCAATAAGTCACAAAACTTACAGTCTCAAGAAAGTAATCGCAAAGTATTTTATCTCGATTACGTTTGCCATTTTAACACAAAACAGAAAGCAACTAATGTTTAGTTATGACTCCAAAGATTAACACCGATATGAGAAACATGTTTGAGGAGTTTATGTGTTGAGTCTTGATAGTTTCCCCAAATATAAAAGTAAAATAAACATGATACAAAGCCTTTTGAATGTTTTTACCAATACAGTGTGATGTATTTCAATGAGGGAATGTCTAAATCTTGAAGCACTGTCGTAAATATGTGTTTAAAATTTAGATTATTTTGACTTTAAGATAATCCGTATGTAATACACGTACATAAAAGTTCAACCAGAGACAGGAGCAGAGAACTAGTAATTGCATTTACTTTGTATACGCCGCATAAGTTACATCTTTTGCTGTAACTATGTATGAATGCATTACCCCTGTCAAGTAAATTAGTAAATAAATAATATAACCATAGCTGTAAACTAAAAGGAAACCCAACATTAAAAACATTTATGGACAGTGGTCATCTCCCTTTATGGACCAATACAAATGTGTTTTACGTTTTAATTCTTGTGTCTTAACAGTTTGATTCTCTGATCTGTGTTTGCGAATTCAATGGTTCAATGTAAAGTCCTCTGAGACAACTACTGTTGTGATTTAGGGCCATACAAAAATACCCAATCACACATAACACACTAACTGTATCTGTAGATTTAGATTATGAAGCTAACACAACACACAACTAATTCTAAATACACCCTTCTTTGTTCAACGCCATTTTATAACAAAGCACTTAATACTTTATCCGGGTACAGTATAAGGAGATTGGAGTATTTATAAACATGAAGGAAGTCTAAAATCTGCTATTAAAAGCATGGTTCCTTTGGTCTTTCTGTGACAAATGTTGGCCAGAGTCCTCCAGCTTGTGCCTGCATGTCTTGTGTGTGTATAAAGTGTCATCGCTGTTGTCTCTAAGGAGAAAATGGATGAGAGGCCCAGTGTTTGGCTTTGCTCTTAAGGCCTGGCTTCCCCCCCTCCTCAGCCTTATCTGTCCTCAGCTGGAGCTCCTCAAACTTCTTGGGGGCACATTAGTTTAACCATGCAACTCGCTCACTGGAGTATAGAACGAGATAGGTCCTCCTCCTCCTCCTCCTGCCTTTGGGTCCAGGCCAAAAATGGGAGCCAAAAACCAGGTCTGCTCATTTATTTAAAAAGCCATTGTGCAAGGAACAGATGAGTCTCGATCGTTGCAGGAGTCCAGGCTATGTTAGGGAGCAGGATAAGGTCTGACCTGGAAATAATCTATGATAAGACTAAATGGGCAATACACAAAGATAGGGATGTTATCGTTTCAAATTGACTGCAATGGTAGCGGTTTGATAATTAATCACAATTATGGACCCAAGAGAGACCATGAAATAATGATTTTTTTTTTATTCATGAAGTGGAGCTAATGGATTGAACAAAGGAAGTAAAAAATACACTTACACTGGGGCTAAAAATGAAATCCTGGACTTGAATTTACTTCTATAATGTTGACATCCTCATTTATTCTTTAAACTGTGAAATTAAAGTGGTTTTTTTGTCTTCTCCATGTTTTCGACCTCAAGTTTAAAAGATTGTGGTTTGAATTTGCGACTGAATCTCTGGAAAGACCTGTAATCTGTTCTCCTTCTAATCTGACAGCGCTCTGGTTTTTATATAAAAGGTGGATTGGCAAAACTTTCAGTCTCTAGATGTGCAACACTTGTAGATTCACACCCCAAAAATAATAAACTTTGCATAATTTGTCTTTCTCATCACTCAAATACCAAGTGAAAAAGTTAGTACTGTCAGGCTAACTGTATATAACGGCTTTCTATTCAAGGGTCTGCGTGTTTGCTAACATGATTAGCACCCCTTAGCATTGGATTCATCATGTTCTGCAGATAAACCATACCACCATTAAATTCAACATATTTACAAGAAATTAAATCTCAAAATTGATCTAAAATCTAAAGCTTGATCTTGATTACCTCAAGCTTGTATGAAATGAAATGGAGATGTGCATGTGTACATATCATTCATTATTCTGTCTGTAAGTCACCAAATAGTTGTTCTTTATTTTTTTGTTATTTGATAAAGTATATCATTAGTGTGATAAGCTGTTTTTAGCATCAGTTATGTGGTTTGAACAAGGATAGGCATAAATAAGCATTGCTTCAGCCTATTCCTTTTTTGGTTGAATATTTTTGTTTTGTTGTTAGTGTTTGTAAATTTAAATGCCTCAACCAAAATAAACCATTCATTCATTCATTCATTCATTCAAACCATTCATTCATTCATTCATTAAAAATGCATGAATTGCTGGAAACATACAGAATGATAAAAGTATAACATTTTGGAAAGAGGAAACAAAATGGTCTAAATATGTCGCACCACAATTTGGGCTCACACTGCAGCATTTCGAGATAATAAATAAATCTAAAAGAAACAATGAATGTCTAAAAACCTTGTGACAGACAGGCCAATGGTGCGTGAGTTTTAGACAATAAACATAGCTCAAAATGCACGTATAAAAAAAAAGTTGAAACCCAGATCACACTGTCTTCATAATAAAAGCTCTTAGCCATGTTTAAACAGGACTTAAAAACAATTATTGACACAGTATTTGAGCAAGACAAAGCCAGTGAAAAAATATTCTAGCATTTCCATTGTTAGCTTTGTATTGAAAACTTACTTCTTTGAGCTCGGAAAACTTCCACTTCAAACTGTGTGCAGTGTTGGTAATACACAGAACGGACAAAAGGAGAGGAACAATCTACTACATCAACACAATCGACACACGGCTTAACCCGGACAAGAAACAAAACATGATATTTAGCTGGAACTAAAGCAAAACCAATCGAGGAGGAGAAAGAAATGAAAGAAAAACAGAATGATCATGGGATAAACCAGGACTCAGCAGGACTAAAGCCGCTGGGACAACACAACTCCAGCTCTTAATAGGCCAGGCCCAGAACTAAACCAGGACTAATGCAGAGTAAACCCAGATGAAGACCACCTCTGTCCACACGTGATGCAAACATGTGTGCAGGAAAGCCTCTAATGTAGGCCTATTAGCAAATGTCAAAGGCAGCAACGACTGAAGGCCACCAAAAAAACACATTCTCTTAGTATGAAAACAAAATGTACTGCTGGGAAAATGATGAGTTTGCTGCAATAATTCCACTGTATTGAAGAGAATTCAGGGGCGTTTTTAGGATTTGCTGAAATGATGAGCTCAGGTATGTATTCAAATATACTTCATATCATCGATCGCTTAGAGGAGGTGTGGGTGGAAAAGGGTCAAGGCCATAGATTGATATTTGTTTCTGGCAACTTTGTTTTTGTGTGTGTGTATTTTCATTCTAAATGGTCAGTACAGGGCCTTTCTGAGTTGAGTTTGCATGTTCTCCCCGTGTCTGTATAAGTTTCCTCCAGGTGTTCCGGTTTCCCCTACCACTAAAAACATGCACAATAGGTCTGAATGTAAATGAGAGAGTGAATGGATGGTGTTGATTGGAGCTGATGGTCCAGTGTGTTCGGCGACTCGCTTCTGTCATCACCGTGTGTTGAAGCCAGTTATGAATTATTATTTATTGAATGTTTATTTGTTCCTTTTGGTTACTGGGATGATGTCTTGCTCCCCTCCCCTGCAATCAGACATATCACAGCAGTCACCTGTGCAGCAGGGTGTGTGAGAGGAGGAGAGAAACTGTTTTTGTAACTTGTGTTGTCCTTCTGGAGGAGGTTTGTAACTCACAAAATATAAAAAATAAGCACTCGCAGAAATAAAGTTGTCTCTTCCTTTGTTGCAGATTTATTTAAAAAACAAAATTATATTCTGTAGTTCACTTTCTTTACACTTCAAAACTTAAGGATAATGTGCATTACAAAAACAGTTTCTCTCCTCCGCTCTCATTCTGCTGCACAGGTGACTGCTGTGATATGTCTGATTGCAGGGGAGGGGAGCATGACATCATCCCAGTAACCAAAAGGAACAAATAAACATTCAATAAATAATAAATCCCTGGATTTTCCTTAAGTTTTGTAGAGTAAAGAAAGTGAACTACAGAATATAATTTTGTTTTTTAAATAAATGGAAGAGACAACTTTATTTCTGCGAGTGCTTATTTTTTATATTTTGTGAGTTACAAACCTCCTCCAGAAGGACAACACACCGTGCGTGGAATGAATGAAACAATATCTGAACTTTGTAACATAACATAACATTGTAAAGCGCTTTGGGTGACCTTGGTCTGTAAAATGCGCTATATAAATAAATATTACTTACTTACTTAAAAGAAAATAGATAGGCCGACTCTTATCACCGAAATATGTCATTATGCGGCAGAGAAGGGTCTTA